ATTGAGCTACTGTCTACTAATACTTCTAGGTCTTTTTCATGCAAACTGTTGTCTAGCCATGACAATCTCATACATGGGCCATTTTTAACCCAAAAGTAGGACTTTATGTTTGTCCCTATTAAATGTTATTTTATTATAGTCAACCCATAATATCAGGCTGCCAAGATATCTTTGACGGAGAGAGTTCATACCCTATGGATCATGGGACAAGCACCTATGGTGTCCATCCCTCCTAGATAGGAAAAAAAAAATCAATCCTTTCTGTCTTCCATCTTGAAATTACCTATTTCTTTGTCCAAAATAACTACCTCTGGGCCATGGCAGCTTCAGAAAAATGCTGCTTTCATATATACTTAGCCTACTACGTCTTACCTGCCAACCCACAGGCTGTTAGTCATTAACGAGCTATCAAATAACTCCCACACACAGCACCCAATAATAAGCAATACCCAAAGCTCCTAGGTCACTCTGCCAAGGGGAAAAGCAAAGACAGTCATCCTCAAGGGAGAGTGGAACTGAAAATAAAACTGATTAAAGATGAAGAAGAGTGTGACTTAAAATATATTGTGAACATCAGATTTTTATAAAAGGCCATTTCCTTCTGTGTTTTACAGTTGACAGAAGAGCATAACTAGCAGCAAATCTAAGGCTATTTCCACCCCTCACACCCCCTGCCCAAGATAAAGTTGCCATATTTCTCTAATAAGATTTTCACATTTAGAATATCTCTATTCATTATCGAGCTGAGCTTTCTTTCTTTCAATGTGTCAGATAAAGGGTGGTAAGATCTAAAAGTTTGTGTTTGTAGTTCTTGGCATGCAGTTTTAGCAATTTCCACCAGTAGTTCTTTTCTGGAGGTTTACCTAACAATGAGACTTTCTTAGGTGGTGAAGAAAGATCCCAGTCTGCACTAGCTCCCTCCTGCCGAGACTCCCAATGGCTGGTGTGTTTGAAGAGGTCCCTCCTCAGGCAGGAAGAACATGCTGCCTAGATTTATTTCTAGCACACTGAAAGTGCCAGGGTATTGCTAAATATGAACTCGGTGAAAATCCCTATGTAAATTGTCTCTGTAATTGCAATGCAATATATTGTGAGTTCTAAACTGTAATTGTTTGCTGACAATGTACATTAGCCATTCACAGCTTGTGTCAATGTGGTATCAAGGAATTAGGGCCTTAGAATCTTTAATGCTGGTTGAAATAGTGCAGAACCAACTTTTGTAATAAAACCAATATTTCACCAGGGAAGGAGTCTGCCATCTTAGCAGTCACTTAACTGCAAGGCAGTGCCACTGAGCATGATCAAACATTGCATTGAAGCTTTGGTCTTACTCCAAAGAAAGATATCTATAATCATGTATGTTAAGGGGTAGGAGGGGATTTGGTAGGTCATGTGAGCCCTCACTCTGTCCTGAAGCAGGTTGTGACAGATAGATTACTATGGAACTTTAAGATCTCTACAGGAAAGAAGGAGGCTCCATGCCCTGGCTTGGTTGCCTGTTTGGGAGCTAAATGATATTTACCCCTGGAAGTTCTTTTTCATATCCAGCTGCTACTATAATGTACTACCATTTCCTTTTGTTCTGCTCTCATTTTAGTATAAGGAGTACAGATGGTTGACTTTTTTTGTGATACTCCTATTGTAATGGTTCTTCCAAGTTTAATATATTGTTTAGAAGGGTATAAAGGAGTATGATCAATAAATGTTGAGGAGTCCACAGTTCTTGACTTAGTTACCACAATGCCAGATGGCTACGCACACATGTCCAGTGGCAGCTTTCCTTTGAAAGCCCCCTTGGCCATAAGGGGAACCAGGTGAGAAGGTGAGTATAACTCAGTGCATTTCCAACCACTGTAGAAAAAACAACATTCTTGAAACTATCGTGCAGAAAATAGATTTGTTCTGCTTGTCTCTAGAGGATAGAATTAAGTGTGATGGGTAGACATTTCAGAGCCAGATTTCAGCTTGATGAAAGGTTAAAAAAATCCTAACAATTAGATTGGTCCAATGGTGGCTGTCTTGGGAGATTGTGGTTTATTCATTATCGGAGCTCGTCGAGTGAAGCCTGAATGACTACTTGTCAAGGATGTTACAGTGTAGATTTCTGCATAGTTGGCTTCGATTAGAGACTTCAAAGGTCCCTTCTAATTCTGAGATTCTCTGGTTCTTTGAAGGCCACTTCTTGTTCACTAAAGGTCATTAGCTTGCTCCTCAAAGATTTGCTGGTGTCCTCACCCTTAAGGTTCCCTATACTCACCTCTAGCCCCTCTAATGACCCCTAACCCTTCTAATTTCCCCACATCTCCACCTGCTGAAATCTTATCATTCCTCAAGACTCCACTCAAGTGTTGTACCCTCCCTGTGAACTGCCTGTGGCTTTCAAGCAGAAAATGATTTTTTCTTCCTCATCCTTCACATAGTTTGATGTGTTTTTCCTGTGTGTTTTTTGCACAATTTTGGATTATAATTATTTGTGTGTGTATATATTGAATCTCCCTACAAGAATAAGATCCAAGTGGTAGGGATTATGTTTGACTGAATAATATTGTAGATTTAGAATTGTAAAGGTCATTAAGTGCAACTTCCTCATTTTACAGAAGAGGAAACTGAGATCCATAGAAGTTAAGTGACCTGCTCAAAGTCACATAGCCAGTAAGTGTCAAAGCCAAAATTCTAAATCAGCTCCTATGACTCTAACTTCAGCACACCAAGAAATTCCGTGTTCCTTCTACTGCTCAATATATTTCTGCCTCTCCAGAACCTAGCAGAATGTTCTGCACACAGTAGGCATTTAATAGATGTTGAATCAAATTGTCTGGAACATATACCTTAATAGTTTATTGTATCTGTCTTATTTTCCTTGTTCCCAAAAAATCTTTCCTGCACCTGCCCACTAATACCTAAAGGATAGTCATAGACACAAACAACTGGGATACAAGCTAGAATGTGATTGGTCTAGAAGAAATTTCCAGATACTGTACTCTAGGAAAATTTGAGGAAGTAGAGGGAATTTTCAGCTGCCTTATATTGTCACTTCCTGCCCTACCAACCCAAGCCTTATCATCATTATCATCGTTGTTGTTCTTGTTAATAGCAATAATAATAACAGCTGGCATTTATGTAGCGTTTTAAGGTTTCTAAATAGCTTTCTATGTATTATCTTATTTAGTTCTCACAACAACCCTGTGAAGTAGCTGCTATTAATACCCCCATTTTGAAGATGAGAAAATTGAAGCAAAAAGAGATGAAGTGATTTGCTCAGGGTCACACAGCTAGGAAGCATCTTTAATAGCTTTTCCTAAGAGAAATACTCAACCTTCCAGCCCCCCTAGTTCATCCTGGGACTTAATTGCTTCAGGAGAGCTTTGGCATTAATGGAGTTAAACCAGGCTTCAGAGCTGCACTCTCTGTAGATGCCAGCAGAGAGTGCCAAAGGTGCAGTGGAACCTGAGCCAATGATGACGATGCCGACAGAGGTGCGGGTGGATGTGTGGAAGGAAGAACACCACTCTTGGACTTTGGGCTAAGAGATGCCTGCAAGGGTGCTAGTGAAATTCTTGTAGCAGCTCATACCTTTTCCCCTGGGAATCTGAGCTGCAAGGGAGGCCACTGGGCAGGGATCTTAGGATAAGTATCCAGAGGTGGAAAACCAGACAGCAGGCTGGGAAGCCAAGGGAAATGGAAGGGGGAGAGGAGCTGACTCCTTCCAATCTTTGTACATATTGACTCTGCTCCTGCAGCCTGAGGTGGTCAGGCCTCATGAAATTCTACCTCTTCAATGTAGTCCTTCTTAACCAATAATAATTTTTGTGCAGACACATTATGGCGTGCCATAGTAGATAGTCAATCAGAAGACATTGGTCCAAGTTCCTTCTCTGACACATACTGGCTGTGTGACTCCAAACTTGTCATTCAACCTCTCAGTGTCCCAGGTAACTCTCTAAATCTGTAAGTTCTCGTCCTACTTTGGTGAAGAGCTCTTCCCCCTATGTGGATGAGATCACAGATTCATCAAATATAATACTTGATATTTTTATGTCCATCTAAGATTTGGAAGAACTTTACATGTAATATCAGATTTGATCCTCAGAACAGTCCTATGAGGTAGCTGCTACATATATTATTATTTCCATTTTACAGATGAGGAAAGTAAAACCCAGAAAAACTAAGTGACTTGTCCAGGGTCGCACAACTAAGAAATGCCTAAGGTGGAAGCCTAAGACTTGCTTCTACCATTCTATCCATAAAGCTAGTTGCTACCCAACCCAGCTGACCTCACTCACACTTACCTCTCTGGCCTCTGGGCTCCCACAAGGAGGTTTGCTTGGGTCACTCATATAACATTGCTCCAGGAATTTAGAGTCCAAAGGGCTTCAGAGATCAGTCTCCTATCTCACACAGCAGTCTCCTCTCCAGCCTCCCTTACGGGTGCTCACCCAGGCATTCCACTCCTTGGTGACTGAGTTGATGTTTAGAAAACAATCATTTTCAAAGCCAAGTTAGAAGGTATTGTATTGGGATTTTGAACTAACCACTTAGTGAAAGGAAAAAAAAATTTTTTACTTAGGAAAAAAATAAGGGAAAATAGAGAAAGAAAAAGAAATCAATCATTGAAATGAAACCCCCAAACTAAGGAAAGAGTTGACAGATGGGGGGAGAGGGCATTAGAGGAGGGAAATGAGGGAAGGAAGAGAGCCAGTGGGAATAGGGTTGCATCAAAGCAATTTAAGTAAAACTAACTAGAGGGACAAAATATTGGCTTGAAAGAATAAGATGATGAAACATTTTCTTAAAAATTCATTTTCAATGTATAAGTAGAGCCTATATCAGGTTGAATGCTTTTGTGGTGGGGGGAAGAGAAGAGAGAGAGGGAGAAAATTTAAAACTCAAAATCTTATGGAAGTGAATGTTGAAAACTAAAAATAAATAAATCATTAAAAAAAATTAGAATAGAAAAAAATTCATTTTCACTTACTTGTCTCTTTTCCCCTGCCTTCCAGGTTAACAGGTTTCCAGCTTCCTGCCCCCATTGTCAGCACAGGTGTTGTCCTCTCTCTGTGGCTTGTGAGTGACTATGCCGTCAGTGCCCAAGGCTTTCATGCCAACTATGAAGGTAGGTTTCTGCTCATTCATGCTTCTGCCTGCCTCTTTTCTAACCAGCAATGGTAAGACATGGCTTGATAGGTGCTCACAACAGGGGAATGGGGAAGCTGGGGTTGCCCCTAGGTCAAAGGAACTGTAACACAGTGGCTACAGCCAGTCTTCCTTCATTGACTTGTCTTCTTGGCTGATGCGACTAAGTGAACACCATCTGTGCCACCGTTGTTCTTCTAGTTCTCTTGACTTTCTGCAGAAAGCCTTTGCGAGGCCTCCTTAATTTCAGTCCTTCCCTTTGTTGATTATCTCCGATTTATCCTGTATGTAGCTTGTTTGTATACAGTTGTTTGTATGTTATCTTTCCCCCATTAGACAGTGAGTTTCTTGAGAGCAGATTTTTCCCTTCTTTGTTTAGCAAACAATGTGTCTGGCATATAGTAAGTACTTAATAAATGTTTATCGACTGGCTGTTGTGTGGATACCAATGGAGCACACAGGTTCCAGCCTATCCACAATAAAAGGCATTCTAATAAAGAAAGTTAGGCATTAGGATGATTTTCTTCCCCATTTTTCTTAGATGCATGAAGCATGAAAGTCAAGGTTATTAAACAAAATCTCTGAGATAGTACTCTGAGAGTCATTGCATCCTTCCCTTTTCCCAGATGCTTATGACATCACCTGAGAATGACCCAGGCTACCCATCCCCCAGCTGCTGGCCTGGGGGAGCTTATTGGGTGGGTGTCATAGGGTTGACTGTTGGCTGTCAGTGCAAGCTTGTGGGAATGAGATGGTGAATCCTACCTGTTCAAAAGCCACTTGTCTTTGGGAAGCAGTGAATCTCAGAGTCAAGGGTACAGTATCCCACTGGGAAAGTATGGATTTAAAAGGACATGTCTATGCAGATGCAAAAAGTCCCCAGCTGCCCTTGGGAAGCCTTCAGGAAGACTGCCAAGAGGCAGGCAGGATGATCCATAGCCATGCCTTGGTATTCCTAATGCCATGTTACAAGGAAAAGAGGAGTCAAAGGGCTTTGGGTTGAATCCTGTCTCTAATGCTTTTCTTTGTGACCTTGAGCAAGTCACTGAACCTCCCTGGGCCTCATTTTCCTAATCTGTAAAATGAGCGAGTTGGACTAGGCCTCTGAGATCCCTTCTAGCTCCAGATCTGTGATCCTATGTAGAGCAAAGAGGCTGACTGAGACATTTCTTCCCTATTCAAAAATGCACACTTCCCAATCTTGACCTATTGTGCCTGGTCATTTTCCTTAGGCCTGGTGGATGAAATTTAAATTCGGCTAGTCTTTTAAAAACTGCTATTCCCCCATCATCCAGAACTCACAGTCATATCCACATTGATGACATTTTTAAAATTAGTTAATTTATTTTTAGTTTTGAGTTCCAACTTTTCTCCATATCCCTTCCTTCTCCCCACCCCAAGACAGAGTGCAGTCTGATATAGGCCCTACATATACATTCATTTTAAACCTATTTTAACATTAGTCTTGTTGTAAAGAATTAGAAACAATGGAAGAAACCATGAATTTTCTACCTAAAAATGAATCAAGGCAGTATATCCCCAGGCTCCTCTTGGTTAATGAGACACCTACAGAAGTAACGTCACATTTTAGGGGTTCTCTTAGTGAGTCTTAGTGGTTTGTAGCTATAAAAAATAAATGATGAGGAGGCTGAAAGGGTTAAATACGCAGCGGAGGAGTCTTAGGGCAAGGAGGAAGAATATGGCTTTTCCCAAAATGCTGAGGTTGGCATTGTTCTCTCCCTTCCCAGGGCCCTGACTCAATAGCCCCTGCCCTCCTCTGGGCTCGCATTCATGGAGTAAGAGGAGTCTCTTGCACTCCTTCAAATAGATTACCCCTACCCTATGTGTGATTAGATGTTCAGAGTCACAGGTTAAGTGACTTGACCAGGTCACTTAATTAGTAAATGCTTGATGCTGGACATGAACTCAACTCCTCCTGGCTCCAGGCCCACCACTCTATCCACTGTGCTACCTAACTGTCTCAAAGGTTTAGGCACAGACCTAAGACTCTCTGGCTATTGATAACTTTTTGGTCCTCCTATATTTCTGGATTAATTTGTATGCATCTGTACATTTATCATCTCCAATGAATTTTTGTTCATTTAAAAAAAATAGTTCTGAATTTTCTTTCTCCCTCCAATCCCTCCCCTACTCATTGAGAAGGCAACATGATATCAAGTCTACTTGTGAAGTCATGCAAAACATTTTTCCTTATTAGCCACATTGCAAAAAAAAATAAGGAAAATAAAGTAAAAAAAAATATGCTTCATTTTGCACTTGGAGTTAATCAGTTCTCTCTCTGAAGGTGGTTTTTTTTCATCATGAGTTCTTTGAAATTGTCATATCACCCCCAGTGATGCCTGTCATGTCCCCATGGCAATGGCCCTAACATTTGTAGTTTGTGTGATTTGGTGCAAATCATTTATCCTCTCTGGTTATGAGTCCTCATCCATGGAAAGAGGGGATTGAACTGGTAGGCTTCTAGCTCTAAATCTGTGATTTTGTGATCCCTGGGCTCTCCAAGGCTGAGTGAAGAGCATAAGCTCAGACAAGTCCTACCAATCTGGAAAGGCCCTGAGTTCAGAACTAAGGATAGCCTTCATGACCATTATCCAAGAACCAGGCTAGCTAATATTATGGAATCTGAGCACCAAATTGGCCACAGGAAGATGAATTTTGGAGTCATGGGAACTCCTGAAGCCTATCAGCTAAGTGCTAGAAATTATGGTCCCTTTGGGAGAAAGTGATCAGGTCATCTTAGAGTTTATGACAGAAGAACTGAGTATAATCTGACATACACTTGAGATTCCAAGAAGTTGATTCCAAAGAGTTCAGAGAAAGGAAAGGTAGGCTGTCAAGACCTAACATTCTGTAGGGGAGTTGGTACAAGGTGAGTGGGAAATTCTCAGGAGTGAAATTTTAAATTTACAAACAAACCAGATTCCCATGAGGAAGGAGCTGTGATCTGCATCCATGAAAGGAATATTTACTCTGAAGAAATTACTGACCCTTACCATACTGTCACTTTGGCCCTTTCCACCATAACCTTGGTCGGTTTAAGACCGAGAAGTGAAAAAAATTCCTTCTCACCTCTGCCTCTTGCAACCCTAGCTCCCTTTAAGGCTCAGGTCATGTGCTACTTCCTTCAAGAGACCCCTCTTGATTCCCCTGAATATTGATTTTCTAGGAGTTTCTGTGTGTCTGCTTTGTTTACGTGCCCATTTTATATTTACCCATCTGTTCATGAACTGTTTTCCCTCCTTGTAGAAGATAAGCTCCTTGAGGGCAGAGACTGTGCCACTTTTCTTGGTCTTTGGCTCTCCAGTGCCCACTACATTCTTGATACATGGCAGGTGAAACTAAATGGGTGTGGAATTGAGATGTAGGAGAATAAACAAATACATGCAGTGATTTGCAAAGTTTAAGATGCTAAATAATGTTAGCTCTGATTATTGTTACTCTGTTGATCTAGGGGACAGTGAAGGAGAGGGAATACAAAGGATTCTTGCCAGCATGATTGACCAAGCCACAGAGCAGAGGGGCCCACAGTGAGATTCATGTTAGATCTGCTTTCTCTGGGTTGTGGTTTGCCATTTACTCTCTGACTGATATAGGGCATGGCAGCCATTTGCTCATGCTGTCTACGGCTTCCTTTCCACTTGGGTTTGCCACGTGGGACTCATCTGAGGAATCTGCCAAGCCAAGGTCATCCAAAGTGCCCAGACCCAGAGAAACAGCCACCAAAGCTCAAGGGCCCAGAATCACAGCTCACCTACCAGGATTGTCGGCAGTGACCGCGCCACCTGAAACTGTGAGGAGGGACTCCATGCTACCTTCCCCCAGAGAGGGAAGAATGGCCCAGGGCATCCTCTGAGAAGTCAGAGAGAATGTAGGATGGTGTCCAAGTAGGGCTGCTTTAAAGAAAACTCTGACACTTCCTTTACTGTCTGTGCCCTGTAGGAGAGCAGTTCTGAGACTGCTCTTGGGGAACCCCAGCAAAGCAGGGCCTTTGACAAAGCTCAGTCCTGGAAAAAGGAGAGAGCTTTGTTTTTCTTGGTGTGGGAAATGTGCTTCTCTCAGCAGTGGGAAGCCAGGGTCAGGTTTGATGTTGCCTTCAGTGGGATGTGAGGGACACTTCACGTAACACTGTATGCCTCTGTGGGCTGCATCTTCCCAGCTCCTGTCTCTCAGAAAGAGCAGTACAAGTCTCTCATTTATCCACACAATAATACATAGCTCTCCTTCCATCCTCACCCACCTACCTCAAGTCCTGATGAATGTCAGGGATGGGTCACGATTCTTTCTTCAGGAAATTATCCTTTTTTTCTTCTGTTTTCCTAAATGGGTTTCTGATTCCCTACAGATCTTGGCTTACAGGGGAGTAGCAGCCAGGAGGATCCTGGTCAAGAAGTCAGCTTTTACTCCATACTTACCACATGCCTATGGTTTGAGGTGACCAGGCCATGCTCTAAATATGGACTTATTGTCTCTCCAGACAGCAGGACACCCAAGTTTGTCAGTAACACCACATCTCTTAACGGCCCCTCTTCCTCCTTCTCCTCCTTTTCCACTCTCTTTCCTTCTCTCTTTCTCCTTCTTCTTTGGATTATCTTTCCTTGATTTCTCTTATTTCCTCCTCCCTTTCTCCTTCTCTCCTCCCTTCCCTGTTCCTTGTCTCCACTCCTTCCTTCTCCTCTGTTTCCTTCCTTATTTAGAGTCAAGTTTACTTACTTATTACATCTCTACCTTACCAGGAAAGCCTTCTGGAGGCTGGGCACACTGGCCTCTCCTAGTTGCTTCTCCTTTTTCTCTGTCTTTGACTCCCTATCTCCTCCCTGGCCATTCCCCATCTTGGAAATCTCCTCTGAGCCTCCTGAAGCCTTGGCCCTCCAGCCCAGATTCATCAGAACCCAAGAACCATGCTTTTGCTTGTTCTCTGCGCTGTGGGTCCTTTGGGCAGAGGTAGAGTTGATCCTGGCA